GTTTACTCATTTTTATTATAAATAAATAAAAGTTTCTTTTATTATTATTATTATTATTATTATTATTATTATTATTATTATTAGATAGATATATCCTCACATGATTCACATGATTAAAGTCCGAGAAAAAAATGCATTTGCTACACAAAATGTTGATCGTAAATTACTAATTATAACGTAAAAAAAGAAGTTGGCGATGCCAGCCGCACAATTTCTTTTCCTTTGAGTTGTATATTGTACAAATAATTAGCAATATAGTAATTTTTCTGCAATAGAAAGAAATGACATTTATCATAAAGGCCTGGGCCTTGTTTTATTTCCAAAAATAATTTCTAAACATTTCGTTCAAAAACTGTTTTATTGGATATTAATAAAATAAAATAAAATAAAATAAATAAATAAAAAATGTAACCGTTTGTTTTTACAACCTGATATAAATTATATTTTTACTACAAAATTAGCATATCCAAATCTAATAATAACATACATATTTGCTTGCTAAGGCTCTGTAACAAATAAAATAAATAAGCTATAGAAAAACAAAAAAATGATAGAATTAATCTTAAAGAATAGAAAGATATTTTGTTCCCAAAACTAGAAAGTCCATCAACTTGTAATTCGAACAAATTTAACAACTATGATTATATTTGCGTCTTAACTTAATGAAATCTTGTTCCAATTCAGTATATTGTTGATTTATCGTCATAATAGAATCTTTAATCATCGACAAACGACCAGAGATTCTTAAAATTAAAAGGTCATCATCATTATTATAAATTGTAGGTGATGATGTAAGCGAGTTATAAAGAGGTTGTTGTTGAGGCAAAGCTTGGGTTGTCATCATCACGTTGTTATTGTTTTGGTTATACTGACCATAACTTTGAATTTGCTGGTGGACGTAATTTTGAGCTTGCTGAATTTGCTGTCCATAACTTTGTTGAGCTAGATTTTGAGGGCGTTGCTGAGAAATATCGGAATTTTGAATCGGTTGAAGAAGAACTTGATCGAGACTTGTGATTTGTTGGAATTGTTGACTATCTTGGTTTTGGTTTTGTTGATAATTAAAAGTCATTTTGTTTTATTTGTTTTTTATAAAGTTTTTATTAAAAAAAAAAAAAAAAAAGAAAAAAAAAAGAAAATGATAAAACCAACTCATTTATACAAAAAACCTCCCAAGTGGTGACAATTTTATTAAACAGGTTTGTCAAATAATCACCACCAGAAAAGTAAAATATGTTTGGTACCATTATCCATAATGCACAATAATGTTCTTTTTTATGCTGTACCATATGTATTTTCAATTGATTTAAAATGGAAAAAACTAGTTATAACACAAGTGATTTTTAATCACTTGTAGAACGATGATGTTTTTTTGTTCGAATATACTCTTCGTTAGTTAAAAGGCTTGGGCAAAAAGATCAAAGAAGATCATTGATTTTGAAGGATT